CACACACACACACACACACACAGAGACACAGACACACACACGGGGGGGGAGGAGGAGGGAGACGGGCCTCCAACGGCCTCGTTGCCGTTGCTCAGGTGATGAGCCCTGGAAACAGAAAAGGCACGGAGGGGGAGCGCAGCTGTCATCCTTCCTTGGGGAACCCTGCAGGGCGGGGTTCGGAGAGCCAAGGAGACCCCCGGACCAAACGCCGCTCCGGCCAGCCATCCTCCCCTGGCCGAGGCTCCTCCTCGGCCCTTTGCAGGGCAGAGCGCTCCGGGAGGCTGAGGCCGGAGGGAGACCTTCCCTCCCGGGGAGTGAACGGGAGGCGAGGAGAAAGCCAGCTCGCGTCCCCCCCCCCCGTCGTTTGTCTCCCCCGCCGCCGCGGAGGCCTTCCTCGGTTGTCGGAGCTGCCGGCCGCAACCAACTTCCCCCGCGGCCTCGGCGGCAGAAAGGAGGGAGCGGGAGGGGCGCCAGCGCCTCACGCCGAACCCCCCCCCAAGCAGCCCCCAGCCGTCTCCCCCAAGGCCCGCGGAGGCCGACGGGCCGATGCAGGGAGGAGGAGGCGCCGATATACCTGCTGAAGAAGCGCAGAGGAGCAGAGCGAGCCGCGAGCCGATGGCGCACCTGCTAGGACCCTCCGGCGCCGGAGCCTTTGCGCCCGACGAGCTTCTCGCCTCCCAGGAAGAATGGAGATAAGCTCACCCCCCCCCATCCCTCCGCCCCGCCCACGGACGGCTTGGACGGGGCGCCTACTCCCCCCCCCCGCTCGTGCGCGCTTCTACGTCAGCGCTGGGGGAGGCGAGGGCGCGAGAGGCGAGCGTGGGAGGCCGGACGAGGCAGACGCGCCCCTCCCCACCGGCAGATGCCGGGCACCGGCTCCGTTCAAGGCCGCAGAGCGGCGCGGGACCCTCGACAGGGCTAGGGCGCCCGCTGCAGGCAGCGGGTCCTACCTACTCTGGCACAGCTGATGGCCCCGGGCTCCGTGGAGTGAGGAGCCCAGCTGGGGTGGGAGGCCCGGGCCCCGCCTTCGCCCGGAAGGCTCCTAACTGGTGACCGGGAGCCGGCGCTGGGGGCAAGGATGGGGGAAGCGAGGGGACGTTGCTTTCCCCAAGCCCTGGAGGAGGAGGAGGAGCGGGGGAACCTGAGTTGAGCGCCTCAGCCCAGCTAAATAAAATAAGGTGCATCTGAACGGAGCACCCGAAGGCGGCTTGGCTGGGCCGGGTGGGTCAGAGCCGCATTCCAGGCATTTCATTTCATTATTTTATTTTATTATTTTTATTATTTTATTATATTTATGGGCAGAAGCAAGGTGGGGATTTCGGACTCTGGTCTGGGAGAAGACCCCTGAGAAGACTGGAGAGCCAAGAAAGCCACCGGTGGCTGACCAAACGAATGAACCCGGAGTTCTTACCGGAGGCACCAACGGCCCCACTCCGGGCCCAGAAGGCGAAGGCCCAGCCCGATCTCTGGGAGGGCTCAGAGGCTGGGGAAGGAGGGAGAAGGCGAGGGGAGGAAGAGGGGCACCGCTTACTGTGGCCATAAGAGGAAGATTAATGGAAAGGGCTAAAAAATCTGGTTAGGGACGGAGCGTCGTGGAGAAAACTTGTCCACGTGCTACCCAAGAGTCGATAATGAGTTCATCAATAACCAAATAACCAGGCCGCGCATCCAAGCGGGGGAGCCGCACGACAGCCCGTCACAGCGGTCCAGCTGCCGTGACCCAGGGAGGGAGGGAGGGAGGCGTGGGGGGGGGGCGGCTGGGCGGGGAGCTGCGCCACCAATCTGCAGGAGAGGCGCACTTGGGGACGGCGTGGCCCGCTCCTGCTTGAAGGGCCCACAGTGGCCTCGGCCTCGCATTTGGGGCGGGGGGGGGGGCTGGCCTGATTCTGACAGGCAGAGCTGTTTTTAAACTCCTGGCTGAGCCGTTCTCCAGGGCATTAACGAGTAAGTTAAAAGCCACTCCACGGACTATTAACTCGCACGGAGTCCCCGGCTGGGACGGAATCGACCGGACTCTTCGGGGATTGAACCTGGCTCGCTTCCTTGCATCGGGGAACCCGCCCCTCCCCCGTCCAGTCCCAAATCACGGATCTGTCCCGTAGGTCGAAAGCCCCCCTGAAGACCCCTAGGCGAAGCCGAACGGACAGAGGCCCCGGGCTCCCGAAGCAGAGAAGGCGTCCGCTTACTCCGGGAGCGCCCGCTTTCGTGTAGACCGGGGTGGGGGAGCGGCTGGCAGCTCCGCTTCATGAACCGAGGCAGCCAAACGGCCCCGGAGCATCTCCGCATGGTCTGCCGCGGCCCACCGGAGCTCCCGCGCCTAGGATGCCTCTAAGTCTCGCCGCTTTCTCCATCCCGCCGGGCGCGCCTACGGGCAGCCTCCCCTGACCAAGCCCCCCCCCCCCCGATTCCCGCTCCAGCCGCTGGGCCGGTCTCGGCAGCCGCGTCTGCGCCTCCCGCTGGCTCCTCTCTCCGGGCGGGACGGGGGCGCCGCAGGGGCTGGTTGGCGGGGCGTTGGGGGGCGTTGGGGGTGCAGGGTAGCCGGGCTGCCTCCGCTCAAGGCCCGGGCGAGACTCCTCGCCTGCTGCCCGAGCAGGAGGTGCCAGGCCCACAGGGGAGGATGCCGGAGAGAGCCCGCCGCCGGCCTCGTGGCGCAACGGTAGCGCGTCTGACTCCAGATCAGAAGGCTGCGTGTTCGAATCACGTCGGGGTCAATATCGTCCTTTTACTCCGGGCTGCGCCGACACCGGCGGGGGGGGGAGTGCTCCCTCCTCGCCCCTTCGGGGGAAAGACGGAGCCGCAGAGTATCGCTGCGGGGATGGGAAGCCGGCTCCGCTTGATCAAGGAGGAGCAGCAGCAGCAGCAGCCCTGATCCGCGAGCGTCCGACAGGGGAGCTGCGAGGGGCTGAAGTTCAGTTCCATCTGGGGATCCCCCGAGCAGTCGGACCTCCCCGCGGCGCCCCCTCCCCAGCCCTCGAAGGGGCCTCCGCCTCCTCCTGTCCCGCTCCCGTTTCCTGCTCGGCCGGTCCGCTTCTTGGTTTTGAAACGCCGCTCCGGGATCCGTCCGTCTCCATCCGATCCAACCACAAAACTCCTGGCCGGGTTTTGCGACATACTTATGCCAGCTTGCATTGAACAGCCAGGCCCGCGCGGATGCAAGCCGACGGGTGGCGCCGTGGCTTAGTTGGTTAAAGCGCCTGTCTAGTAAACAGGAGATCCTGGGTTCGAATCCCAGCGGTGCCTGCGTGGCGATCTGCTCCCCTTTTGCGAGCCGCCGTCTCATTTTGCGGGTGGAGGCCGGCGGCGCCGCTGGCTGCAAAGCGACGGGCAGCGCTCGGGAATAGAGGCGCGCCAGATGTTTCCCGGCCGGCCCCAAGCGCTGCGGAAGAAGGCGGCGGCGGCCCTTCCCCTCGCAGGGCACCCCTGGAGGGCGGCCCTTCCGCGTTGGCCCAGATTCAAGCCCTGCAGAGACACCGCGGGGCCGGGCAGCGCCAGCCGATGAGCAGCACGGTAGCGCGGCCGAAGGGTTAGCGGTTAGCGGGTCAAAGGGAAGACTCCCCCCCCACAAGATGCCCCCCGCTGCCCTCTAGGGGGTCAACGAGAATGGAGCGCGTGGCAGGCGGGGGAGGTCTGCTGATCCCTGCCCGTCCGCTGCGCCTCCCTCCTGGATCCCCCGAAATGGGGAGGCAGCACTCAGAACAAAGAACATGCAATCCCGGGGCTGGAAGGGACCTTGGAGGTCTTCTAGTCCAACCCCCTGCTCAAGACAGGGTGTCTACCATCCTGCTCAAATGGTTTGCCCGGTCTATTTCTGAAAACGTCCAGCGATGGAGCAGCCACCATTTCTGGAGGCGAGGCAAGCCATTCCACGGATTGTTCCCTCGGAAATTTTTCCCTTCCTTCTAGGCTGGGTCTCTCTTTAATGACCTTCCACCCATCAGCTCCTTTCCTGCTCTCTCGTTTCTCCTTTTGGGCGATAGCCCTTCCACTACTGGAAGGCAGTTATCATGTCCCCCCCCCCACCCCCAAATGTTTTCTTTGATTGGCTAGAGACGTACCTCATTCCCTCCACCCTTCGTCCTGCAATTCAGCCCCCAGACCCTCCTTGATGGTTCTTTTCTGCACTTTTTCTAGAGTCTCAGCATCTTTTTTATATTGTGGTGATCAGATCTGTACGCAGTTTTTCAGGTGGCTCCTATTTAATTGTTTGTTCACTAGGAGTCCTAGATCTCTCTCAGAGTTACTGCTGTTGAGCCAGGCGCTATCTTATATCTGTGCATTTGGCTTTTCTGGCCCAAGTGTAAAACCTCACTCTTCTCGTGGCCAAATTGCGTTTTGATAGGGCCCAGTGTTTATGTTTGTCGAGATCCTTCTCAAACTTGAATCTATGTTCCAAAGAGTTAGTGATCCCCCCACCCAGCTTGGTGTGGTCTGCAAATTTGACGAGTTCCCCTTCTATCCCCTCATCTAAATCATTGATGAAGATGTTGAAGAGAACTGGGCCCAAGAGGCAAACTTGGGGCTCCCCACTGCACGCTTCCTTCCATGTAGATGTAGTTCCATTGAGGATTACACGTTGAGTGTGATTGGTCAGCCAGCTACGAATCCATCTGATGATGATCCTGCCTACCCCACATTGTTCTTTCTCACCAAGAAGCTGTGATCTACTTTGCCAAATGCCTTGCTGAAGTCCACCTGGGTGAGGCCCGGCTAACATGCAGCTTGCCCTCCCCATCCAGCAAAGCCTCCAGCCAAGAGGAGGGGCACCGGGCCTCCTGCCTCCTTCCGTAGCCTCCTTTGGCCTAAGCTCCCCGTATCCACTTCAGATAACCGGCACAGCTGCTGGGCTCCCCAGAGCAGCCCCACACCCACTGGAGGCAGAAACCAGACGTTGGTGCCACAAAATGTAACACTCTTTATTGAGACCGGGGAGCAGAAGAGGGGACCCCCGCCTGAGCCTGCAGCAGAGATGGGCGCCTGGCTCCCCGGCCGGGGAGGGGTCCCTAGGTGATTAAGAGCTGCTGCGAGGGGGGGAGGCCACCGTTGCCCTTGTGCTCCTCGAAGAGTTGCTGCAGTGCCTGGACGTAGAGGGCGTGGTAGCGGTCCACCTCCTCCGGGTTGGGGCGTGGGCGCAAAGGGACAGGGATCGGCTTCCCCACTGCAAATGAGAGAGAAAATGTGTGCTGCGTTTGTGTATCTGTGTGAGAGAGGAAGTGCAGCCGAAGGCTGGCCCTGCCTTGCCAGTGCAGGCTGTCTTCCCACAGCCCGGAGAGGGGGAGAAGATCCCAGGCTCACCCACAACCGTGATGGGGGATGGTTGGGGCAGGAGCCCCCAGCAGTGGCGGAAGAAGAGGCTGCGTCCCACGAAAAGGCAGGGAGCGAAGCCGGCCAGCTGCTTGAAGCGATGCTGGAGACGCCGGAGGAGGCTGCCCTCGGGGAACTGCACCTGCCGGAAAATGTCGTTCTCCCCAAAGGAGAAAACGGGGACGAGGTCTGCCCTGGAAACAGAAAGTGGGGAGATTCTGCACAGTGGGGTCCTGCGCTTGGGGCTCTCTCAGCCTGGAGAAGAGGCCTCTTCCTCCAATAGGTGAAGAAGTTGGGGATCCCCCAAAATGTGCCCCCAGTCCGCCCATTCCAGGACCCGTCCCTTACTCCTGCCGAGGCTGCAAGGAGACCCTCACCCGTGCTGCAGCGCCAGCCGCACGAAGCCTCGCCTGCCTGAAAGATGCAGCCGCTGCTCGCCCGGGTTGCAGTCCAGGGACTCTGAGGCCCCGCCCACCACAATGACCACCGCATGTCCAGGCCCCGTTCGGAGCAGGAAGTCCAGGGACTTCTTGCTGACTGGCACCATCCCTGGAATGGGACAAGGAAGGTGGGGGGGCAGATCCCTGAGTTGGGGGGGGGGGAAGGACCCACTTCATTGCATAATGCTAGTGCGCCTTCCCTTGGTGGCTGCATTCCCCACCCTGGGCCGACCGAGGCCTCTGAAGGACAGACGGGGCACCTGGAGCCGCCTTTGACCTCTGCCTCCCAGCTCTGGGGGCTCCTGACCCCCCCCTCCCACCAAGGAGATTTCCTTAGTCGGCCTTCCCAAGGACAGACACCCTGGTCAAAAGCAGAAAGGCGGGGGATGGGTCCTCTCTTAGCTCGGGTTTGTGTCCCAAATAAACCAAAGAGAGGGTCACTGCAGCAGCCCCCCGCCAAAAAAAAAAATCTCCCAAACCACAAAACGCCAGAATGGATGGCCCCTGGCCTCGGGGGTTTAAAGGACGTGGCCCTCAACTGTTGGCCCAGAAACCGGATCGGGGGGTGGGGTGGGGCTGGGGCGAGAAAGGTTTCCCACCTGAGCTCATCATGTACTCGCGATACACGGGCAGGTAGAAGAGGCCAGCCAGGAGGGCCAGGCTGCTGGTCAGGCCGGGAAAGGCCCGGGAGAAGCCACAGGCCTCTGTGCTGAAGGCAGAAAAGGCTCCCGCACAGATGATGCCGTGGGGGTGGGAGCCCAGGATGTAATTCCTGGTGGGCGGCAGTTCGGCAGTCTTCACCAGCTGGGGAGAAGAGAGCAGGGGGAGAAGAGGACCGCTGTGGGGCTGCCTTCTCTTTCCCGTACGGGTGGCCAGCCACCCGTGGGCAGAGCTGCCCTCAATGCAAGTGGCAATGGGTTCCACAGGCTAACTGTCCCACCCAAAGAGGGCCTTCATCTGCTCCCCATTTTCCAAGACACTGAGAAGCTGGTCTTGTGGCCCTTTCTCCACCCACAGCTGGCTGGGGCAGGTTTTCAGCCGGGGCCTTTCCTGGTGCTCTCCTGCTTGGCTTTTGGGACATTGGCCAAGGGCAGGCCATCCCCTTAAACTGGGTCCAGCGGGAAGCAGCTCTTTTGGGGGGCTGCCCCTTCAAAGTAGACCGGCCGCTGCGCCCCCAGCCTGGCCTCCTCCTACCTTGATGGGGAAATAGTCCCGGTGCAGCTCCCAGACCTTCCAGCGCCTCATCCAGTCACTACGACGGCCCCCTGCCAGGACAAGCACAGCGGCCGAGAGTGGGTGGGTGGTCCTGCAAGGGGAACAGTGGGGCCTGGCTCCCCACAAATCCATCTCTCTCCATGCTGGCCTTCTGATGGAGGGAGGAGGCTGGAGTTTGCTGGACCGGCGGGGGGGTGGGTGGGTCTCATGGCTGACTTTGGTCCAGATCCAGCTTCCCCCGGGGGAACCTGCGTGGCTAAAAGTCCTCGCAGACCAGGCAGGGATTTTAGAAGGCACGGCAGTTCTTGCCTTCTCCTGCCCCCTCCCCCCCTCCCATCCCATCCCCTGCCCAGTTCCCCAACCGCATCCCATAGGAAAGGGGATCTGGGGTCCCAGCTCAAATGCTGCCCCACTGGGGAGACACAGCAAGGGCCCCCGCTTTGCTGCAGGAGAATCAGGAAGATGCCTGGCAGCTTGAAGGCCAGGTGGGCAGCCCTGGGCTGGGGACGAGAGGGGGGGCTCCGGGGGGAGGGGGGAGCTCAGCACCTTGCAGGGGGGTGTCCAAGTCCACAATCCACCAGATGAAGTACAGCACACTCAGGGACCAGAAGGAGGTGAAGAGCAGGTAGATAAGAAGCAGGGTGAAGAAGGGGCCTGGGGGGGGAAGGGCAGGCTTCACGTGGGCCCCCTGCCCCCCCTGCCCGCCCACATGCCTCCCTCCTAGAGGCAAGACTGAGCAAGTAGAAGAGGGCCCCTGAGCTCAGAAAGTCCTTGGGCGGGCCCCTGGGAAGCATGAGACCCCAGGTCCCTTTGCTCTGGGGGGCCACCTTCCCCCCCAAAAGGAAGGAAGGTAGCCTGGGCCCACAGGCTCCCCCCACCCGCTCCTACCGAAGAAGAGGAAGGTCAGCACCCACTGGAAGACGCTGAGGGCCTCCAGCTGCCTGCGCAGGGTCATCTTCTCCAGCTGACCTGTGGGGGGGGGATACAAAAGGATCACCAGTCCAGGAGCAGCCACGATGCCCCCCTTGATCTGAGCCTGAGCGGTGGAACATGGGAGTGGCCATGCGGGGGGGGGGCAGTCCCCGAGCCAGGTCTGGGTCGCTCCCCCCGGCTGTGCAGGGCCTGCCTGCTCCTTCCGCCTAGCTGCAGGGGAAGGACCTACCCCTGGGGTGGAGAGAGGCGCCCGCCTGCCCGTCCATCGTGGCTCCACGTCCTCCAGACAACTGCAGCTGAACTTCGCCCTCCAGGCAGGCAGGCAGGCAGGCGGGCGGGCGGGCGGGCGGGCTGGCGACCTGGGAGAGCAGGTGCCACCAGCGGATAAGGAGGGAGGCCGGGTCAGGCCACTGCACAAGGCCCGCCTCCCCTGCCGCCTGGGCCCTGTGGGGAGCTGGGCTGCTTGCCCCCACCACTCACCCCCCCCCTTAGCTCCGCTTGGTTCTGCTGTTCAAGGCACGGGGCTCCTCCATGCAGCCCTGGGTTCAGAAGGGGGGTCAAAGGTCAGCCGCCAGCAAGGCTCAGGGCTGGGCGGAGACAGCTTCATGCCCAGGTTCCCCCCCCCCGCCCAAAGTCCAGGCTGGAGATGAGACTCCTCACTTCTCCAATGTGGTCTGAGTTAAAGACTGCCCCCCTCCCGTTCCCATAGTCCTCCCCCCGTTTCATTTTTAGCACCTGAGACGGCCAACGGCTTTATGGAGTCCAAGGGGGGGGGGCGCATGCCGCACGTGCTCAAAGGTTCCCTCGCCTTCCTTTGCACCCAAGCCGGCCTGGGGTTGTTTTTTGGGGGGGGGGGAATCCTGCAGCAGCGGAGGCAGCAGCCCCGGCCTTGAGGCAGCGACGGCGAGCAGATCCCAAGGCCTCCCTCGGCTGGGCCCCTCCGCTCTCCCTGCCCGGGGAAAACAGGGCCAGCCCGCACAAGGGGGACTGCGCCCCCTCCTGGCCAAACCCGGTTGCTCTCTTTGTCTAATCCCATCAGACCCCAATTGACACCCCCCCCCCGCAGTCCCCTCTCAACCCAGGGCAGCCCCACAAATGCGACCCAGAGAAAGCCCATCACTGGGGGACCTCCACACCCCACCCTCCCCCCATGCTCCCTCTTGAAAGGCCCCACAACATAACTCAACCCACACACGTGGACTCAGCCGGCTTCCCCAGACTGGCCAGCCAATCAGATCCCTAGGATTCCGGGTTCCAAGGAAATCCATCAGACGTCCCCCTAGGGCAGGGGTAGGCAACCTCGGCTCTTTTATGACTCGTGGACTTCAACTCCCAGAATTCCTGAGCCAGCGGAGCTAAAGAGCCAAGGTTGCCCATCCCTGCCCTAGGGAGTAGCCGGGAGTTAAAAAAAAAAAAACCTGGATGGCCATAATCGGAATCACCACAGCCAGTCCGGGGCTGCTGCTGCAGCTGTCCTGCTCTCCAGGGACACGTGGGGCTCCGTTTGGCACCGTGAGCCGCTCTTCCGCCCCAGAGGCTGTGCTGCACCCGGGATGAGGCACCATAATGCTCTGCCCCGGGACGCCTGGCTGGCTGGGGGAGAGCGGGCTTCCCCCAGGGCGAACGTAATTGCGAAATCTGGCCACAGGGGGGAGTAGCAGCAGCCGAGCGCCCCCCTCCACTCAGCCTGGCTGTGGAGATGGCTCCGGGCAGCCGGACGCAGAGCTGGGAACCCCGTGGATGCGGTAGCCAGAGGCGCCCCGAGATGCCTCTTCTGGACACCCAGCCCCGGCTGCTGCCGGACGGTGCAGCCCAGGACACCAGCAGCACCTCGCAAGTCAGTTGCAGCTGTCGAGGGGGGGGGAGGCAGAGGTTGCCACTTTGGATCAAGGCCTTCTTTCTCCCCCGCTCTGCTGCACCCCTCCAAGATTGTCTGAGACACACAGGACAGAAAAAGGGGACCCCCCCACCCCGCATTTGCCATCTTTCCCAGCATGTTGGCCTGCCTCAGCCCAGCCCTACAGTTCTGCCCACCCAGCCCAGTGGCTTCCTCCGTGGCTGCCAAGGCATTCCCGGGTGGCCACGACAGAGCACCTGGGGAGCCCCAAGGCCAGGCAGAACCAGGGCTCCCCCAAGCCCCATCCACAGCGGATCCCCATAGGGGGCGGCGCCCCACGTCCCCCCCGCCCCATTTAGTCTCTGGCACCCCAAGTGAGCTCCATGCTGGTGCAGGGACTAACCCAACCCCCCCCTCCCAGCAGCATAGCTCAGGCACTCACTTTTAAGCCCCACAAGGCCAAACTCCTGGGCTGTCCCTTAAGGGCCTCCTGGCACCCCAACAAGCCCCTTCCTTCCTTGCTGGCCAGGCAGACACTCTCCCCCCCCCCCCCGCTCTCTCCTTGCCTCCCAGAACAATCAGGGTCCTCCCTCCTCCTGAGGCCTGTGGGGGAGCAGAGGATGTCTGTGTGTAGCTGCCAAGTCTGCCATCACCCCCCTCCCTGGGCTCCCACTGCAGATTCTACCCTCGCCCCAAGTTTTCGGCTTCACAGGTGCTTCCCTGCCCCCAGACCTGCCAGGGCCCTCAAATGCCCCTTGCAACTCTGCGTTGCCCCCCCTTCCAGTTATTCCCTGCAGTTCTTTGCAGGCTAAGCGTCTCTGTGCCCCCCCCCCTGCAGCAGGTCCTCCCACACAGGTCACCCAACCTGTGACCAAGGGGGAGACGGGCCCCCTTGGACAAGAAAGGGAACCAAGCTCTTTCCTGTGCTTGCTCTGAGGAGGGGGCTTCGAGGCTGGTCTCCTCCTATGTCAGGGGACCCTGGAAACAACCGGGGGGGGGGCAGGTATAGCGGTGTGAGGGGGTCTTGGCGCAGATGCCTTTCTGAGGGGCTGGGTTGCTGCCACCAAGCCAGGATCGCAGGACATGGCATTCCTCACGAAGGCATGGAGACTGCCTGCGAGATGGCAAGCCCCCCCCTTCTGCTCCCCCAAGATCACTGACCCGCTGCCGATGGGAGAGCATGGCTAATTCTGGAAGCTGGTCTTGGGCCGGTTCCTGCCTGCTGGAGCCCCTTTTACAGGCCCTGGCTGCTCCCCTTTCCATAGCCCCCTCCCCATTTTTCATGGTCTTTTTTGGGAAGCCGAGGTGCTCAGTTCACAAGAGGCAGCCTGGCTGGAAAAGGAAAGCAGGAGAGCTCTGGGACTCATTTGCCCAGGTCCAGGCCACACCCGCTGGCTGCCTCTCGAGCGCTGCCCCACCCAGCGGGCCCTCCTCCTCCTCCGCCTCCTCCTCCTGCCAGATGCCCAAGACTGCCAGCAGCCCAGCAAGTTCTTCTGCACCGGCTGATGCCGGAGCAGCCGATCCCAAACAGGCCCGTAGGAGCTCCCCTCTTTTCTCTCCCCTCTGAGGGGCTTCAGCAGGGCGGCCTCTTCCTACCAGGATGGCTACAAGCACCAGGGCTAGGTGAAAAACCAGCCACGGCCTCTCCCATCACCTGCAGCTCTGCATCCCTGCCCTTCAACGCCCGCTAGGTCAGGTCCGGCTCAGATGCCCTCATCTGTCCCAGCCACCCTGTGCTGGGCAGACCCGCCCTCTTCCCTCTGGCTCCCCACTGTGGCTCCTGCCTCCCCCCCCCCCAGCCCCGGGCTTCCTCTACTCTTCACAGCATTGAGTGCTCCCACTTTATTTCTTCCAAAGGAAATGCCACCTTCGAGTAGATGGCACACAGGACCGTTTGTGCAGCAGCAGCCCAGGAGTTTACCCTCCTCCCCGCAAGAGTCCCGAGAACAAAGTTGCTTTTAAGGCGGGCCTTGTGCCTGCCATCCGTGCTTTGGCATCAGCGCCCTTCGATGCCAATTCTGCAGGGTCAAGAGCTCCGCTCCCAGCCGTCCTCGGGCACCACTCCGATGCTGCCTGGCAACGAGGGAAGCTTTAACCCAACACCTCCAGAGCATCTTTGGTGAAAGCCAGCTCCTCCTGCAGCCACGCAGTCCTTTCGCCCGGCCCAGGTGTTGCCCCTCCGTGTCCCAGGCCGGCCCTGCGTGGCCGGCTAGATGATGGTCAGGTGCTTGTCTTGGGGCAGCCCGTACTTGGCCTTGTGCTCCTCAAAGAGCTGAGTCAGCTTCTCCAGATACGTCTCGTGCAGCTCATCAATGGCTTCTCCGGACGGGTGGGGCGTCTTGGGCACCATAATCGGAGCTCCGACTGAAGGGGGGGGCAGGCAAGACATGAGAAATTGAATAAATAAAATAAACCAACAGCTCCCTTTGAGGCGCCAGGGAGAACCTCCACCACCACCCCCTTAGCAAGAAATGAGGCTGAGGGAGGGCGGCAGAGACCCAGGAGTGCCGGTTCTTGCAGCCAAGGGGGCTCAGTAACCCCAGTGCTCCTTCCCCCCCCACGCTCCTCCTAGTAGCCGCAGCCCCCCTCCCTCTGAAGAGGGTTGGGCCGCAGGAGCACCAGCCCCCCATGCACAGGGAAGACCTACTGAGCAGGGTCACCGCTAAGAGCCCCAGCCCAGTCGGGCAAGGCCAGGTTTCAGTCTTGAGGGACCCAGGATGGGCCTTACACCCCAGAGAACTAGCGTGAGGGCACGGAGCAGAGCGTCTGCGGGAAACGACCAGCCACATCAGCACTGCCCCTTCCTGTGGTCCAGCGCCTGAGCTGCCTGGTCCCACAGCATTGCAACAGGGAGAGAGAGAGCCAATCTCCAGCCCTCCCCCCCTCAACCAAAGTCCAAGGCTGCTGCCCCACTGAGGGGCTGGCTCAGAGGGAGTTGCAACACATAGTGCAGCAGCTGGCCCTTGCATCACCCAAGGGAGGTCAGTTTGGCTGCCCTCCAGCTGGGAGAAGTGCTGGCCTGTCTGGGGCAAAGTGCTAGGGGACAGACGGTCACCCAAGGCGGGGGCAAACCCGCCCCAGAGGGGCTCCTTTCTGCCATGGGCAGCCACGATTGACGGGATCCAAACGGTTCCCTGGCAGCTGACCAGCCCAGCACCTTTTGGGAGCCAAGAGCCGCAACAGACACTCTCACCGACTGTGTAGATGGGTCTCCGGAAGGGCAGCAGGCCGAAGCTGTATTGGAAAACGCCCCGAGCGTGGAAGAGGGGCAGGGCCAGCCCCATGGCCTTCTGCAGCCCTTCCTGCAGCCTGCGGATGAGGGAGCCTCGCGGGTTGGACACTTGATTGAAGAGCTCGTTCTCCCCGAAGGAGAAGACTGGCACCAACGCTGCTCTGCAAGGAGGAGGGCCAAGCCTTGGTCAGAGGGAGGTCTTCCCTTCCCCCCCCCCCCCGTCTTGCAGTGCTCCCAGAGGCCCCCCGCCCCTCACCCGTGTTGTAGGGCCATCTTGATGAAGCCTTTGCGGCTGCGTAGCTGAAGGGTCAGAGCCCCCGGGCGAGCGTCCAGCGACTCAGGGGGGCCCCCCACGGCGATGACGGCCACCTGCCCGCCCCCTTCATGGCCAAGGAGGTAGGAAGCACTGGCCTTTTCCGAAGAGACCAGTCCTGGAAGGAAAAGAGCAGAGGGGCTCAGAGCGAGATGGCCCCGGCTGTCCTCACTGCCCCTTTGTGCCCAGGTGCCCCCTAAAGAGCTCACCCCCGCTCATGATGTAGTCGCGGAAGAAGGGGACCTTGAACCAGAAAGGCAGCATCAGGAGGTGGGGGGTGAGCCCCGGGAAGAGTTGGGAGAACCCTGTGGCTTCGGTGCAGAAGTTCCCAAAGGCGCCGGCCACCAGGACCCCGTGGGGGTGGAAGCCGAAGAGATAATTGTGGGAGGGGTCCAGCTTTGCCGTCTTCACCAGCTGCCAGTGGGGAAAGAAAGCAGAGCAGAAAAAGTCAGCCCAAGATGAGCGCTGAGATTACTGAGCTAGTACTAGATCAGGAATTGAGGCAGTGGCCCCACAGGTGACTGACCCTGCATCTCTCCACCCCAGGGTGACACCCCCCCCCCCCCGGGGAGTTGCCGAGGCTGCTTGCATTTTTCCAAGCCCAAAAAGGTGGAAAGGAAAGAGATTCCCCCTAGCAGGGAGGCTGCTTTGGCTGGGCCCAACAAACACCCAGGGCTGCTTCTCCGCTCTGCCCAGCTTCCCCCTCAAAGGAGGCCCTGCAGCTGCCACCTCTGGATGCCATTCAGCCTGGCAGGGGGGCGGAGGTGGGTGACTGGGGAGCATAGCCGACTGATGAAGCCTGAACCAAGCTCTGGTTTTAAGGGTGCAGAAAAGATCCAGAAGCACAACTTTAAGCTCAATAGTCCCTCAAAGAGATGAGGGGTGGACCCCAAATACTTTTGGGGAGCCCAGCTTCAGCCAAAAGTTTTTTTCAAGACTCTGTCTTGGGGTTCCCTCTCTAGGAGCACTTGGGAGGCAACTGAAGTTCACAAAAGCTTTAGCGGACTTAGTGGGGTCCATATTAGACACCACCAACAAAAAAAAATGTTCAGAATGTAGCTTGCACTTAAAGAAACACATCCTCATCTGCCCAAACAAACAGGAGGAAATTTCATGCCAATAAAACATTTGGAGCTGGCACATTCGTGATGGAGTTACAGACAGGACGGTCTAGATCTGTGAGAACTGATGCAGAAGCAGAGGATCAAGGAAATTAGTAAATAAGTTGATTTATCAATCCAGCAGCACAGCTGCCTGAATTCTCACTGGCTGTTAGTTACATCTTAAGGTTACCAATTTAAAAAATGGCACTATTTATTTTAGAATATTTATAAGCAAAACAATATTTACTACATCATTTACAAAACAAATTGTCAAGTTTAACTGGAGACACATGTGAAAGCTAACAGCCCCAGAAAATACAAAAGGTCGGAGAATTTATGGCCTTCAAGGGTGGCCCAATTATTTAAGCTGCAATCCAAACTGCTTCATGGGATTCGGTGTTTTATTCTACTGCAAATGATTCCCAAATTATAAAATTAGTGGATCATTTCATATCAGATTTTCATGGTCCCAATTTGCCTATTAAACCAAGACGTTTTAAACTCCCTTCCTGGCTTAGCTGCCTCATTGGAGGCTTCTCATCCGCTCTCAGGCAGCTACCTGGCAAGGGGTGGGGGGGGTGATACATCCTCCCCGCCAGGGACCCCATCTGAGCCAACCCGGCTCCCCTTCTGCCTCACACCTCCTCCTCCAGGCCCAGCCCGCCCGCCCATTGCCTTGCAAGATAAGGTTTATGCCTTTTAGTATAAGCTTAGTCAGTCGAAAAAGGGCCGACACCTTCTGACCGAGGGGGCGCAGAAAGGATGGCATTTGCGGAAGGGGGGCTACGGAGCAACACCGGCTTGACAATGGGGGAGGAGCCGAGGTTTAGGCCGTGCGCTTAAAGGAGGGCGACCCGCACCGCACCTGGGTGGTTCTCCCCAAGAAGTTCCAGCACCGCTTCGAGCCCCGCGTTCTCACTCCCCGCAGCGGTTTGTGGCCAAGGCCGTGTTGGTGGAGCCGGCGTCCCCCGAAGGGAGAAAGTGGGTGTCCCGCCAGGCCCGACCCCCCCCCTCGCTAGCACCAGGAGCCTCCCAGTCCCTCTGCTCACCGTGATGGGAAAATAGTCCCGGAAGTATCGCCAGACGGCCCAGCCGCGGACCCAGGTGGAGCGGCGCCCCCCGCGAGACGGCGTCTCCCAGTCCAGGTAGAGCCAGGCCGCGTAGCCGAGCGCCAGCAGCCAGCCGTCCCCGAGCAGCAGCACTACGTAAAGCCCCAGGCAGCACTGGGCTACGAGAGAGGCAGCGGGTGACCCTCTCCTCCGCCTCGCCAGCCCCCGAGCAGCGGCAGCTGCGGCACTCCGAACGCGCTCAGGAGCCCGCCGCTCCTGCTGCTCCCGCCCGCGGACAGCCCCAGCTGAGAGGAAGTGGCGGCGCCCTGCGGGGCTGGAGCAGCCGGGCTTCGGGAAGGCAGCCCCGCGCGAAGCAAGGCGAGCCGCCGCCCGCAAGAGCCGAGCCGGGCGCTGCAACTGCCCGCCCGCCCCCGCCTCGGGCTCCCTTCGCGGCCGTCGGCCAGCGCTGCCTCTCCTGCGACCTCCCCCGCGGCCGGGACACAGCCACGTTTGCCGCCGCCGGCACCGTCCCGTCCTCACCCAGCGCCAGGAAGGAGAAGACCCACTGGAGGACGGCGGCCGTTTGGAGGCGCCGCCGGAGCGGCAGGCGCAGCGGAGCGAACCGCACCCACATGGCCAGCGCGATGGGGTCGGGCTCGTACAGGTTGGCCGCCGACCGCAGCTGCAGCTTATCAAGGAGGGACGAGCTCCTCCTCCTCCTCCTCCGCGAGGCCCCGCCCCGGCCGCCCGTAAGCGAGGCGCTGCGGCACTGCTGCGGGCGAGGGGGGGAGGGGGCGCTTCCCCGACGGCTGGCCTAGGCGAATCGGAGCCGGTCAAAGGAGTCGGCGCAGGGAGGGGGAGTGGCCTCTCCTGGCCCCAAACCCACCGGGAAGGGCTCCAAGCGAGCCGCTGGCCTCCGCTCAGCCCCCCCGCCCCGCACGCACGGAGGAGAGACGGGTCTGACGGCGGCCGCTGCTATTTCTGGCTTCTCCCGGCCCAGGTGTGGCGGGCGGTGACGTCTTCCTTCCCCGCCTCCAGTTTTGGGGTCTTTGCCGGCAGCCTGGAGGTTTCCTGCTGGGCCTTCTGTTTTCTTCCTCCAGGGAGCCTCCGACTCTCTTTGCCAGGGAGGCCTGGATCTCACTGCTCTCCCTTACGGGAGGCTCCCCCAGGACGGCACAGGTGGGTGCCGGCCCTCCACAAAGACACAAGCCGAGCTTCAGCCCCCCACCCCCACCACAAGGGGAGCAGATGTAATGAACCCCCATGTGCCCCGTGCCCCTCACCCCTTTCCTTGCACCTCCCCAGAGGAGATCGCAATCCCTGCCGAGGGCTGGCCAGGCTTGGCTCGGCCACCACCAGATTTGATCCACGGGGCTTCCAAGGAAGTCTTCCACCAGCCCAGCCCCGGCTTGGTTCCAGAGGGAACAGCAGAGAAAACCAGGGGCTCCCCTGCAGAGGCTTGTGGCCCCCCTGTCCAAGGCCCGTCAGCTCCAGAGGGAGGCCAGGGTCCTTCTTGGCTTGCAGCCAGGAATCGGCTCTCTCTTCTCTGTCCGTCCTAAATGCCTGCAGGAGGCCTGGTGCCCTGACCTCCCTGGATCCCTCTGCTGACCCCCCCTTGAGAGAATTTGCTTGTGGGGAGTGGAAGGGAGACCCTCTTAGAAGCCCCCACCCGCACATAGGGAGCAGCTCCAAAGACTGAGAAGTGGGAATGAATTTGGACCAGAAGCTGCAGCTCCTCCAGTGAACGGGATGGGCTTGGAGTGGCGCTCCCTTGCAGGAACCGGAGCAGCCCACGGGTGCCACACTGGGCGACACTGCCTGCTGCCCTGCCCAGGGGCAGCTGCTCTGGGCTGGAGATTCTGCAAGGGGAAGAAGGGGCTCAATGCTGCCCCCCCTTGCAGCAGCTGATAGTCTGTGGGAAGCAGGCCAGCTGGGCCACGGGGCAACCCTGTGCCTCTTGGAGCCTGACGCTGAGCACATCCAGAGGGGGAACTGCACAAGAGGAAGTGGCGGCCGGGCGGGCCCCACGCTTGGCAAAGAGAGGGAAGTGCCTTCGCTCTCTCTAAGCTGCTCCCTGTCGCTCGGGGAGAGCACCCCTCCTCTGCCACCTCCCATCGGGACAGCTGCTGCTGGCTGGAGAGGATCTGTCCCTTGTCAGGGGGATCCCCTGTCCTTGGCCGCCTCTTTGAGAAAGAGTGGAAATCACGGGCAGAATGTTCTCTCCAGGATCAGAGGCCTTGGGAGTAGCTGCTGTGGAACGTGAGCCTTGGGGTAGGAAGAGGGGGCCAGACAGGCACTTCAGGCAACTTCTGCATTCAGGGCAACGGCGGGCTCTTTCTGTATGGCCACCAGGATGGTCTCTGAGGCCAGCAAGATGGCCTTGACTCTCTCCTGCCAGAGGTGCTGCAAGAGACGGCATGAAGATGGCCTCTGCTGTGCCAGCAAGGGTTAACGGGCGCTCCTGGAAGCCTCTCCCCAAGGGATCCCACAGCACTTTCCCCAGCCAGGGAGTGGGACCCGTGAGGGTGGCCGAAAGAGGCCACAGACACCGGAGGGAGGGAGGGAGGGAGGGGCCTCCCTGGCGGCTGCCTCTTCCCTGCTGCTGCTGCTCTCCGGAGCTGCTCCTTCACTCCTTCCTAAGCAGACCTGAAGCAGCTGCAGCAGCGCCAGCATCAGGGCGGGAGGCAGAAGGAGACACCTTTCAGCGAAATCAGCAGAAATTGCTTGCAAAGATGTGGGATTAGCTTTATTAAGAACGAACAGAACGGAATCTATCTTATCTATCGCACTTCTATATCTATAGTAGTAGAATACTGCAGAATAGTACAAAATACAATTGTAGAAGGCTGCAGTTTAGAAAAATTTTAAAGTGAAATCTAATTTTAAACTAGGACAGCTTTTAAGATCATACTCTGAAAGCTTCATTTTCAAGTTTCAAAAATATTTTTTTAAAAATACTAAATACTTGCATTCTTTTTTGTGGCAGGAACGCTTCTAACCCAGACTTGTAAAAAGCTGGTTCTTCAGGGTGGCAGGTGCCCCAAAGCGGGCATTAGGAGTGTGTGTGTGTGTGTGGGTGTGTGTGTGTGAGATCGGAGGACAGTTATTTGGTGGCTGCCATGTGTCCTTCTGAATGTGCTTCCTCAGAGCAGACCCCTGGGCTCTCTCTTCTGCCCAACATTCTGCAAATAGCCTGAACCATCCATCAGGGGAGGCACCTCTGGAAAAGAGGGGCAGGGCACCCCAACCTCACCCTCTAGTCTGCATCGCCTGCCTGCTTACTGCGGGGGGGGGATGCATTTTTTGGCAGAGTCGCGCGTGGACTGCGCTGTCTTCAGGGACATCCTTGCCTGTTCCCACACTCACAGGGCCAAGTGGTCAGAGCTGGTGCGAAAGGGTGGAAGCCAAAGAGTAGGACTGGGGGTCTCTGGCCAGTGCCAACACCTGTGCACCGTGATACTAAAATGCAGGTGGGCTGATGGGTCAGCAGTATCAGAAAATGGCCCTGAAGCCGGGGTGGAGGTCCTGGGAAAACAAGAACACAACTTCTGCTTCTTTGCAGGCAGATGCCTGGTGCTGGAGGAAGCGGGGGGGGGGAGGGTAGAGTGCCAGGAGGGGGCCTCTGCTTTTCGTGGTGCCATCTTGGCACTGGCTCCTGTCAAGGCAGAGGCAGCTTTTGTTAAATCTCGGTGCTCATCCGACCCAGCCAGGAGTAATGTTAATTTACACCACCTCTCCAAAATCCCAAATCATCTGGTGGCAACAGAGGATGCAGGAGCTCAACAGAAGGTGAAAGAGGGTGGAGATGAGCTCCCTCCAGCTGGGTCCCAGGGAGCCCCAACCCCAATTAACCCCCAGTAGAGTTTTTCCTTCCTGGCCAGACGTTTTTGTCTCCCGTCCCGTTCCCGCCGAGGTTGTTATGCCTGTTTGCTCCCCTTCCCGGGGGTCCTGAGCTGATGCACCCAGAGCTCTGTCCGACGCTACGGAGCGCGGGGCGGGAGCGGGCAGCCGGTAGGGCAGTGATGGTGAACCTTTTAGAGACCCGAGTACCCAAACTGCAATCCAAAACCCACTTATGTATCATCGGGTGCCAGGTGGGCGTGGCTGCCGTGGTAACGGCAGACTGGGTGGGACTAAAAAGTTCACTCAATCAATTCCAACTTTGCGAGATCTTTTTTTTTTTCAGTGAGAAGTTGAAATTGACTGATTGAACCTTTTTTTCACACGGTGGTGGAGGCCTAAAGCGAAAAGGTTTTATAAAACCCAGCTGAAGGCCTAGGACTGGGGCGATGGCGCGCGTGCCCACGGACAGGGCTCTGCGTGCCACCTGTGGCGGTAGGGCCTTTCCGGAATGGAGGGGGACATCTGGGGTACTGATTTCAAGAGGCTCCGCCTGCAGGCTCGCCAAACCCAGGGGAGGGCCGGGAGCGGCGAGTTCGAGCCCACCAAGGGCTCCAAGCGGGCCTTCCTTCCTCGCCTGGGATTCACCCTGGGACTCTTCTGGAGATCCCCTTCCTGGGGCCCTAGACGGTAAACGAGGGAGGTGCTGCTGTTGGGAAATTCGGGGTCCCCGAACAGGGTCCCTGTCCAAAGGCAGCCTCATTTCAGGGCTGATACCGCTGACCTGGAAGGCGTGACCCGAGGGGGGTGTGGGTGTGGCCCCGGCTGGGGTCTTAAACCAATGATTTGAATCTTCATTTGATTCAGTGATTCGATCAATGATCAGCCCGGATCCCTTGTGCCCGGGAGGGGCAGCAGCTCCTTCCGTTGCAGCGGGGCGAGGCGGTCCGGCGGGTGGGCCGGCTTCCTTGCCTCCCCTCGCCCTGTGAGCTCACGCGGCCTCACAATGCCTCCCCGTCCCCCGTGGCGCTCCAGCCCGCCAGAGAGCGGGCACCGGCAGCCATGTCCTGGCAGCAAAGCCTCTGCCGAGAGGCCGGCGACGTGGTGGCTCGGCTCTTGGGCGGCGCGGTCCTGCTCTGCGTGGTCAGCAACGCTGTCTTCCTGGTGAGGAAGGGGCGCGGGCGGGCGGGCGGGCAGCGAGGGACCCCTCCCGCTCGCCTGGCTGCCTTGGCCTGCCGGAGAGCGGCGCCCAAGGAGCCCCATTCGGACGGGGAGGGCCTCTAGAGCCGCCTGAGCGGAAAGAAGCGGGGAGCGCGCGTGCTGCCAGGCCCCGACGCGCCGCTCGTTCTCTCCCCAGTTCTACCTGCCCTCCAGGCGCAGTCGGGGCTCGGACGGCCGGAGCCAGGCGCAAAGGAGCGAGGGTCGTCAGCCCGCAAGCAGCCGAGGTTCGGGAGCCGGGCCTTTGTAAGGGGGGAGCCGTGCGGCTCGAGGGACGGCGGGGAGAAAAGCGGGAGGCGGGAGCCTTGCCGGCGGAGAGAAAAGCGCCGACCGGCAGGAGGGGCGGATTGACGGCGCCTTCCGGCCCCTCTCCCTCCCCAGAAGGCGGTCCGGCCGCCCAGCGCGCCTCACCCGCGGAGCAGCGGAGCGAGGCCCCCTCGACAGACCGCAGGCGACCGACGGCGGGGCAGAGGAGCGGCAGCAGCCCCAGCGGGTGGCTAGGCAGCGCGGACGCCCGGGCGGAGCAGAGGCGGCCGGTGGTTTTCTTCGTCCCCGAACAGCTTCCCAGTCGCGCTT